GGGGGATGAAATTGTCTGCGGGTGTTGCTTAAAATGAGGAAATTCGCTGGAATGGTCCAAGGTTTTTGTCAACGATTGTATATTTTCTATGTACATTGAAAGCATTGTTGTAATGTTATTTACTTCTTAATTTCTTTATTGTTACAGAAAGGAGCTTCAGCAGAGCTCTTCTTTTCGTATCTAATCCAACAAATCCTTCCACACTTTGCCAACTATGGTGAGTCTAAGCTTGATGTATTGAAACTATTGGCTGAGATGTCTCCTTGTGGTCTGAATGAAGATACTGTAAAATCTGCTGTCGAACCTGTATTTAATCTACTTTTGGTAAGTTATGCAWCATAACMAGAAACYTATAAGGGACTTGAAACATGTAAYGCCCATACATTTCTTTAGTAMCAAGCGTCAGAATATTCAAAGCTTATTGAAAATTCAAACCTTATGACCATATTTGGAAAATTCAGCCATTGCATAAGAGATTTTAGGCACTTTCTGGTTGGATATAGTTAGGTTAAATTTGATTGTTCGAAATAAGGAAATGATATGCAAATTAGATTTAAATATTCCAACGGTTGGCATGGCATTGSATGTTTCAAGTCCCTTATAGGTTTCTGACATAACTATAAATATATCATCAGTGAATCAATGAAACAAATATCTGTTGATAATTGGTGAGAACTCTTATTACTAAAATTYATCAAGTCATTTTAAGTTTTCTGATGACTTTTACAGGAATATATGCCATTACCTCCCGCTGAAGAACCAGAGGAGAASAAAGAAGAGAGCCAAGARCCTAAACTGCAGTTTTCKTTTGTAGAATGCCTTCTGTATGCATTTCACTATTTAGCTAAAAATGTAAGTGTCTAATGAACTCAGGGGATARTGTATGGTTTTCCTGTGTTGCTGTGGTAGAGAGRTACTAGGCACTATTTAGGTTTTTACAACTGCCCCAGTTCCTCTCCTATTTTCACACACTTCAGGGAAGCCATATCCAGAAGCCCAAAAATGAGAAAGAAGTGCAACAAGGCTTAAATAATGCCATATTTATATAATATGTCTTATGAAGTACTATCCTGTACTCTGTAAATTATTTTTGAAATTTTAGAATGAAGAATTTTTAACTGGCGCAGATGAAGCAGAAAGACTAAAAGATTTCAGACTAAGGTAAAAAATATCACTAGGCAAATCTTCATATCAGTACATTGTCTGTCTGTCTGTCCAGATGTCCTGTTTACTGTCTAATACAATACACMTTTTCAGTTGCTCTTAGGCCTCAACAGTGTGTTAAATATTATTTTGAATTTGTAGGAATGTGAGCAATGCAAGCATTGATGTGAATAGTCTCATTTATCAAATTCAAAAGAATATTTAACTTGCTATCGAGGCCTAAGTGCAACTGAAAAGGTGTATTCTCCACTTAAGGTTACAGTACTTTGCACAAGGTTGTCAAGTTTATATCAAACAAATAAGACTAGCTTTAGAGGGAAAGAAAGGAGCTGCATTGCAAGAAGAGGAAAACAAGATCAAAGTAGCTGCTCTTAGGACGACAAATAACATCAATACAATAATAAAGGTTTGTAATTTTAACTTTCTTCTTGGGGATGTTGGTAAACTGACCCCAAAAGCTACATAATTATGTACTGTGTTGTGCCCTAACAGATATACAATGGTGTTATTTTCAAGCCTACATGTACAAAGTTCATCTTTAGCACCCTTAGCACTTTTGTGAGGATGTGCCCTCTACAGAATTATATTTATTTATCATATAATTATCTATGAAATACCTATATTTCTCCATTTCATAAAATTGATATTTTCACCAGTGAGAAGTAACACATTCAATGTTTCTCTATATAGTGGAAGTAAGAAAAAAAAGTATTTTACCGACATAATTATTTGCTTCCCTATGTAATTATATGATAAACAGAATATGACATAGTCGCTTGGAGATACAAATTTTATTTTCTTGTGTTGAACACTTGAAGATAAAATATGTATCTCCGTGCGCCCATGCAATATCCTCTATTTAATTCATAATATAAAGAGAATCCAGCAAAGGAAATTTATGTACAACTGACTGCAATGTGTTGTTGAACATTTTATTTAATGATAAATGTCATTTATTGATACTTCAGGACTTGTTTCACAACCCACCCTCATACAAAACTTTTGTATCATTGTCATGGAAATCACCTGCCAAGAATACRGCTGTGGCATCACCAAATACTCAAACCAAAGTAGAAACAAACTCTCCTCTTGATGAAAAGTGAGTTCAACCACTAGATGTTATTATACAAATGTAGGTTTACTCATAGTTTTGTGACTCAATTAAAATGTATTTCTTTTTTTYATCAGACGTAAGAGAGCAGGYATCACACCAATCACATTCGAYATTCCCCCTGAGAAAAAATCCTCCCCACAAACCAATAAGCCYAAAGGACAGAACAAACGAGGGCGYGGCTTTGAAGTCTATACCCCYCCAGGCCGACGCTCAGGAGCAGCTAATGGAAAAGTCCAAGGACAAACTATGCCAGAAAACTTCGCTACAGGACAACGAAGGGGAGGGAATCGAGGAGGGTGGAGACGGAGAGGAAGATTTTAGGTTAATGTGCACTAACAGGGGAGGGGTRGGGCAAGATTTTTAAATATTCATTTATGGATGTTTGTAAAATGTTTCAATGTGACTTTTATCAGTAACCCACTTCTTTTCGTTAATATAGTAAAGCTTTAAACTTTGTAGCTTGCTTTACTGACATAACTATTTTTTGGTAAGATTTGTGATCTTTAAAGGGACACTGTCAATGGCACGCATGCGAGAGTAAACTTGAAAACACTAGGCTAGTGTTTTCAAGTTTATGACTCCAAGTTGGCGCGATATAAATCAGCTCGTAAACGTATAAACAGATCTAGAATATTCCAAAGTGTGTCAAAAGCACCACAAAATGATTTTCCTCGAAGGTAATACTTTCAAAGTCYRTTAGRGGYGAGAYTGTTACTGCGCATGTCATCCATTGACAGTGTCCCTTTAATAGTCCATAAGGCAGGCCTTAGGTCCTGTTTACATGAGATAAGGTCCTTTGTTTTAAATCCTCCAGGGAAAAGAAAACAAAAGAGTTAGCCCTTCCGCGTACAGTAGGGGCACCCTATCTCATGTAAACAGTGTCTTAGATTTAAAAGTTGGGAGAATTATAAGTCAGAATATAATGTTGTTGTTGTTTAAAAAGCTTGTTTTATACACAGTCTAATGCTTACACCCGACCAATAACCACTGCCATGTTAGGGAGAATTTTTACTTTGATCATAAGTATAATCATTCTGTGTTTTTATTTAAAAATGCTGGTTTTATTACATCTCATAGAATTAGATAGAAATAAATATTGACTCATACAATCAAATGTCATTTATATAACAATGATTTTATAACAATGATTATCATTAAAGGGCTACTTGGACGAAAATTGCGAAACATTAGAAAAGACTTAGAAATCAAATAGACCTATCCATATGAGTCTAATAATCATGAAGGAACAGATTTTAAGAAGATATTGATACAAATCCTTAATAATTTGCGCAAAAAATGTTGGAGTAGATGACGTCATTTACTCCATCCTTTTGTTCTTCCATCTTTTGAATCAAAATTTCTCTGATGTGGGACAATTCAAAAACAAATATTTTCCCGCAATTGTTTTTAATAGATACAAACGAGTCATACATTTGTATTGCTTGAAGTTTTGAAATAAGACCATTTTCATGCAAATAGCACTTTAATGTTTGACCTCCCTTCTGAGACAATATATTGTCTTCTAAAATTTGAATCCAAAACTTTCACCTCTTCTGAAAATAGTGTATTATTCTTACTCTTATTGTGTAGACTTCTCGCAGCCATTCACGGTGTCACCCCACTGATCCTCCCCTTGACTCTTCACTGTGAAAGGCTGCRAGGAGTCTAATTGTTTTGTTGTTGGTGTTTGAACTAGAGTCACCTGTAGTTACTATTGTGACATAATGTATATTAAAGGAGTATCTTACTAGAATAATAATATTCAGTTATTTGTCATTTAATTCTGCAATTCTGCGTCTTGAAGGGCCACAGTAAGCAGCTATCCCTAATTATCAGTGTTTGATTATGTTTGAGAATATAGATATGGTTTGAATTTCATGATATAGCAAAAACTTGCTCTTTATTATCTCATTTTGCTCTACATATGAAAGATATTTTACAGTAAGATTAGATCCTAAAAGCAAAATGAAAACAGTTTGTCAATGGATATTTGCATGTGCATTAACAATAATTGCATGCTGGTTGATCGTGGCCCTTTAGGATGTTKYTTAAAGATCATRCCACTTGACAAGCTTAAAACAAGTTGTAGTTTGCTTTAGTCTAGTAACAAAGACATTGTTATGTCRGGCTGCATGCGACAAAGTGCATTGTGTAAACAGGCTTGTATATCTTGTAATCTTAATGATTTGTAATGTGATATTGTTATTGCCTTTGTATATATACTATTATATCTGTACTTTGTCAATGTTATATATAAAATTTTGTTTCTTTCATTTTCTCGTATTTATTGTTTTTCAAAAAATTCCCTTTTCCCTTTGAATCTCACTTTGATGTGAGAATTGAACTGTGTATGAGCTTGGGCTTCCTGTGCCTGAACGGACTCACTTCAAAAACAAAATGGCGTTTGATTTGAGAAAGGAAGTCGAAGAACTCCGTAAAAGAGGCGCTTCTTTAGGGCTAAACCARGACGATATCGATTATGCAGTACTCAAATCTCTTGGTGGTAAGATAATCTCTTAAGATTGCCACATATAACACATGTACAAAAGCGAAAAACATTTTCTTTTGTGGAGTGATTTTCTGCATGACTTGCTCTGCAGCTGTYTCGGAAAATTACACGTCAGTAAAAAGACTMAAAGGCCYGTGTTGTTAAAGGAAACAAAGCATATAAAAAATAGCTTTCTACTAGAAATAGAAAATGGTATTTGTTTGGAATTATTTGCTCGAATTGTTCAAGGCTGAATTTAGTTGAATGTGCTCAACGTTCTCTACATGTCTGTTTTGTAGCTTTTCAGATTAGAAGGGGGACGAAAGGGGGTTTCATTGTACGACCTCAAACATTCAATTGTCGACAACCAAATTTGATACTAGTAACTGTGCCAGAAATACTGAAATAGCAAATCACTGCAAATAAAAGACTATAAAACATATTGAGCATAATTTTAAAAACTTGTAAGTTTCACATTTTTGACAGATTTTTWAAATTTTGTGCACGCACCATAAATCAATCTTTACGACAATTCGGCAAATTCTCCACGCAGTCTTTCAGGATTGCCTTCAATCCATTTATTTTTACAAAAGAATGCATGATATGTCTCATTCATAATACAATCTAACAGATTAAAATRTTAATTTTCAGAAACCCCAGCTAGATCTGATGAAAAACCAAGCAAAAGTTCWTTCAATTTTTGCAAGTTGATCTTCMTAGTGATGGCAACAATGCTATGYCTTTTGTTCCTGATCATTGGAGGCATTTTTGTTGCATCAGAGCAYGATAAACGCTTTGGGCTGTGGATTGGAAGAACCTTTGCAGACTTTACTTACCCCGCGGTCCGCGTCATGAGACTGGTTGCTCTTCCTTTTCATCGCTGGTTTGACATTAGTCACATGTACGCGTGGGAATGTATTGTAAATAACCCTTCTTATGAACCAGGTAATATACTATCAGACCACTATTGTTTGTTCACAATATTATATACAGCAATATACATAAATAATGATCTTTTTTGCTAATATTTAAAGTACAGTCAACTCTCTTGTAAGCGACCACCTCGGGATCAGGAAGAAGTGGTCACTTACGAGAGATGGTCGCCTACGAGAGAGTTTTTTGCAGAGTTTATATGGGAAACAATTATAACAGGAAATTTAAAAGGTGGTCGCTTACGAGAGTGGTCGTTTAAAGAGAGTCAACTGTACATATATTTCAAGTATATACGATTTTCTTGCTGTTGAGTTCGGTGTCGTTCACCACAGCCAACTATGTACGAGTTTGCTACCATACCAACTGGTCTCAGTATAGGCCAGGACACGGCAAGTTAACCACTAAACCACTGTTATTCATAATATAATTAGACAATGAAACAGGTACCTTTTGCAATCAAAAGTAAACATATAGTACTGTAGCTACAGGTGAAACTAAATAAGTGTTACACTGTCATTTGACCCACCCCTACCATGTAAGTAGTAGCATTGCATAATCAAAAGGGGAATGATTTTGAAAAAAAAATCCTGCAAGCCATCTTCACCAAAAATAAAAATTGTGCACAACATACCTGAGAAAAAAAAACTTGCACCACCCTAAGCCCCCAAAAAATGTTACATACAAGAAGAAAAAAAATCCTACACACCACCAAGAGAAAAAAAATATATCCTACCCAAAAGCCACGAAGAAAAAAAACTTGCTCACAAGAAATCATCCACCCCCCCTCCCTTAAAAGTTAAATGGACCGTCCCTTAACCTAAAATATTTTTAGGTGGTCCTGAATGTGATATATGTGTCAAAGCCAAGCGAGTCCCAACAAAACTRAGCAATCTTCTTCCACAAGAGGACTTCAAGGAAAAGTTCTTTGATCCTGGATTTTCTGTCATTGTTCGCAATGTTTCTGGCTATGGAGATCAGGACCATACTTATGAGGAATTCCTGGACCTCTACCATGCTAATAAAGCCATTATTGAGAAGGATTCTTGTGAGTTCTATATTGGCGGAGAGAATAGTACTGTGGGAAGTCTAGGCCAGCTGYTAGAGAAATGGGATCATCATAGACCAGAAGGCCACATAGTTGGATGGTAAGATATGCTAATGTTTACCACAGGAAACCCATGTCTACCACAGGGATCCCAATCTATTAATGAGACTACAGTTTTGGATTTTTTCAATTTACTGACATTTTGGATCGTGGGAACTAGCGGTAAACTAGTGTGAGCTGCGTCAGGGTTTCTAATGAAACAGTTGTGTAAAAAGATAAATTTAACACCGTAACAAAGAAGGTGAAATAACTTACTGACGTTTCAGACGTTAATTCTTCGTCAGAGTAAAAGGATTAACATCCGAAACGTCAGTAAGTTACTTCTCCTACTTTTTTACGGTGTTTAATTTATCTTTTTACACAACTGACATTTTGGATGTTAATCCTTTGTCGGAGTACAGTACTGTACTTCGATTGTTGCATTTTAACACTCAAAAAATTGTTGAGTTAATAATTAGTATTACTTAATGAAGAAAAAGCAACACAACTTGTAACCTGATTAATTATACTCTTTATTGTAGGTTTTGGGCATTAATTTAATAAATAATATTATTATTTGATTTATTATTGCTAATATTGTGGTGATCATTATTATTATTGTGTTTTTAGGAAATTATGCTATGGTAAAGGCTTTAGAGAAATTAGAAAACTTTACCAAAGACCCTACTTTGTGCATAGTGAAGGTGCTTTGGAGAAAATGATCCATCTMTTGCAACCATCAGGAGACTATCCAGAGTCTGTTGAGCTTGTAAGTCATAGAGATGAATATACAACAGGCCCATAGGCTGCTTATATGAATGGGGGTGDGGGTGTTTTTTCATGATTCACAGGTTTTAAGTGTGTAAAGAACTGGCTGCTAGAATGAGCAATTCATAACAAAAAACAATTAAATTAGAATAATAAAAAAAGAAACACAATAATCTTTTAAGCTTTAAGGGGGAGGGGGTGTTCAGGGAATTTCAGACAAATCCTCCCAGCCTATCAGTCATGGGCTGTACATTTACACAAAAGCAGCATTAACAGTCACAATTACCAAAACATTTTTTTTCTTTATACTTCCAAATAATATCATAATATTGCTTGTATTTTAGCCAAATAATTCATTTGACAACGTTTGGTATGCTCAAGTSGATGGGTCAACAGAAGTAGTCCTTGCGCCRGTGGCAGAATGTGCAGAYGAGTGCAAAACYCACACTGTCAACCTTATAAAGGGGGATGTCTGTAAGTACTAAAATGTACCTCAGGGGGAGGACTGTATTTCATGCAAAACACATTCTGTCAGTAAAACTTCTATTCACTTGCGGCGAGGATGTACTAGGGGGGTCAGAAATTTATGAAATCTTAACTCTCTCAGAAATGCCATTTCCAGCGTTTTGAGGCATTATCCAAGACATATTTACCGTAGACACGGTCAGCAATATTATCAATAAAATCCCAAAGACTTAATAAGGAGGCTCTTCGCTTCTTTATTTAAGAAAATTCAAAATGTCGGAAATATTATTGCCCCATCCCCCCCCCCCTGCTCCGCGGTCCCTGCATAATCCATTTATTTTAATCAAACAATTTCAGTTTGCATGATGTATTTCCTCATTTTCAAATTATTGCATATTTCTTTCATTTTTTTCCTTTCTTTATTTTTTCAGTGTTCTTCACGCAGCAAATCTGGAGGGCAACTTTCACCAACAGACAGCAAGTTCCAGCCATGATATTTATTTCTTCATTTGCTTAACTTAGAAGCTAGTAAACTAAAGTAAACTGTAAAACTAGAAAGATGTAATAATCAATTTTAAATTGTCTAAGATGTTCAAATAAAAAACATGCAAATATAAGTCTACCTTTTAATAGTTGGTTATAAATTCTGTAAATTATGCTTCTTAGTACTAGAGCGTTTTACGCGCAAAGCGCCACTAGGCWAGAAAATTTTTCTTAGTAAGGGGCTTTATAAACGTGAGAGTTACAACTTTTGGCTCCACCATCCGTTATCCATTCCAGTCATGTTKAAATTTTCCAGCCTCGCTCCAGTGTATACTTCACGCATGTGCAGYAGCGGTTCTTCCTCTTTCTTCGCCGCCATTTTGTCATCAGTAAGAGAAGGTAAATTCAAGAAGTTTAAACCAGAAATTTSTTAATAAAATCACTTTTSTGACTMATTTTTACTAAACAGTGTAATAATTTACTTTTAGATGTCACAATCGGTGCAGGTTTTTGGTCGTAAGGTGAGAATTTTGTGATGTTTTKAGTCGTWTAAAGTTTAGGTATTTCGTAARGCTGCTAGCACGTGKACTTGAATTCGCCTGTATTCGGTTGTTATAGTTTATGTTCTGTTCTGTTTCTTAGTAGTTTATCGTAAACGATGATAAGGAAATAGTGTATTTTTTGTTAATTTGAAATTGGTTGCATAAAATTTATGATTATTCTCACTGAAAGTTAGTTTTTGCCATGTAGCTACAAAGCTTTTTAAAACTACATGTAATTATGTATGAAGAACTCACTTGATATCTTCGCGTTTTCTATTGCTATTCTATTTTCTATTCAACTGTTTTCCTATCGTATTTATTTGCGAAGATAGAGACAGCTGTTTTATATTTTACGGGTGTCATTTGATTTTCWTTGTAGAAAACTGCTACTGCTGTAGCTTTCTGTAAACGAGGCAATGGTTTGATCAAAGTCAACGGTGTTCCTCTACATCTTGTGGAACCAGCTACTCTGAGATACAAGGTAGGAGATTACAAATTTTCAAGATTCACTGTAAAATCTACTTATATTATAGCTATTGGGCTTTGAAAGAGGCCAAAAAAATTCTGCAATGAGCCCTTAAAGTTTTCCAGACAACTGCATGGATTTGTCAGATTTTGTGAACTTTGGCTAATGCAGCAACAAATATTTGCAGTTTCATTTGACAAAAAAATGATTTTTCTTCAAAATATCATTATTTAAGTCAAATGTTTGGCTTTGTAGGTATGATGTACATTTAGAATTGAGTAACTAATTCTGATCACAAGGCTCAAAATAATGTCTGGACCTACACAGGACATAATGTTGTTCCAAACACTTTTTTTGAAGGCCATGATTAATTTTTAAAGAAATGGCTGGTAAATATGTCCTTTCAAATTCCGATTTGACAGGACATTTAGCAAATTTGGAAGGACATTGTCCTTTGAACTCCCCTTATTTTGAGTACATGAATAATTCTGTGTAGAATGGTGGGAACTAGCGGTAAACTAGTGTGAGCTGCGTCAGTGTTTCTAAAGAAACAGTTGTGTAAAGAAGATAAGTTTAACACCGTAAAAAAGTATGGGAAATAACTTACTGATGTTTCGGATGTTAAGCCTTCGTCGGAGTAAAGAGTAATTCTGTGTAGGTTGTCTCAAACCAAAACTACAGTTAATCAGCCCAACCTCTGTGTCTGTTTCACTGTACATTTTGTTTATGTGCTTAGCATTGAAATAATTTGAGAATTTTTTTAATGCTTGTGCAGGTCGAAGAACCTATTCTCCTTCTCGGAAAGGAACGCTTTGAGGGGGTTGATATCAGAGTCCGAGTAAAGGGAGGTGGACACACATCTAGAATCTATGGTAAGAATATGCTGTCCTTAAATTTGACCTTACTTTCTTATACTAAAAGCTGATACACACTCTCCTTACATTTGACCTTACTTTCTTATACTAAAAGCCGATGCACACAAGACTCCAATACCCTCCCTGCAACAGATTTGCTTCAGAAGCTTGCTCTGCTCCGGGAGAGCAAAACTTTCATTGCACTACATTTTTTTACACAAAATTGTTGGCACAGAGGAGAAGGGTTGCTCCAGATATTTGTTGCCTTTAATTTGACGACTTGACTTGACTGATTTGTCTTTTCTTCTTGGCTTCTGCTTCTGTTTTTATGTCAGGGTTGATATTTTCCTGTATAAACATGGAATCTCACATGTTCCGAATCTAAGTGAGCTGATAATTAAGCAAAAGATTGTAGTTATTCATGTTAATTTTGGTGCACGTGATGATTCCTTGTTTCATATAGAGCACATATTATGAAAAAGTACAATAGTCGATGTTTAAATCAAGAATTCGTGATTTATTGGGGAAAAACATTTAATTGATTAGATTCTATTTGTTCTTCTATTCTAGCTATCCGYCAAGCCATCTCCAAATCTCTTGTGGCCTACTACCAAAAATGTAAGTCTAGATTCTCTCAATTTGTATTATAGCTTGGTCAAATGTTATTTTGTTTATTTTCACCAGTAAACGCATAGATGTGAAAATGCTATAATATAAAAGCAATAAACATATTTTCGTGCATTCCTGGTGAAATAAACCAATTGTGATGTTGGGGAAAACACTCAAAAGGCTGAAAATGTGTGTGTTYTCCCAACATCCAACATRGTTTATTTCACCAGGAACACACGGAAATGTGTTGTTTATTGCTTAAATATTCTGCATAATCTATTTGATTATGCATTGATGATTGGTTGAGTGGCCTGTTGCATGGATGCGCAAGTGTAGGTTTTTGTAGCATCTTGCAAAGTTACAAGATATCAGTCTTTTTCAATCAACATTCAACATGCTTGAATAGTTTAAATAATATTGTTTGGGTGCCAAGTATAATAACTGTGAGCAGGACTGGTTTGAGTTCTACGGGCTTCAATTTCATTGTTGACACTGACACTGGTGTAAAGGCCAGTTTAGACGGTACAACTTTTGCCTACAAAACTTGTGTACTAAGTCATCCTTACAAATTGGCTTCAACTGTCGTACAGATTAAAAACAATTGTTTGATAACCCTACGACAGTTGTAGCCATGTCATAAGCATGACTTACGCAGGTTGCATGCGTTAGTTGTAGGAAAAAGTTGCACCGTCTAAATCGGCCTTTAGAGATCCTCTGCCCTTTCTCCAGACCCTAAGGGTTGTAGGAAATGGAGGATTCAGCTGTACTAGTACATGAAAAATATGGTGGAAACTAGTTGTAAACTAGTATGAGCTGTGTTCTAAAGAAACAGTTGTGTAAAAGGATTTAACAGTGTAAAAGTATAGGTGAAATAACTTACTGACGTTTTGGATCCTTTGTCGGAAGAAACACATTTCTTGCTTTATTTGTTTATTTCTTGTTACCATGCCTACCTTGCTTCTTTGGGTCTACTTTCTTTGCTACTCTCATTATATAAACTCACACTTTTCGTAGTTTACTAGTCTATTCTTGTCTCGATAAAGAATTTATCAGAGTTGAAGGCATTTAAGAGCGGTTTTCCGAGACCGTCAAGCAAGGTTGGTAAAATGAGAAAATTCAAAATCCTTCAAACTTTGTCATAAAATTGCATTTGGTGAGCTGGTCATGCTGTGTGAGTTTGGTTTCAATCGGGATAATATTCGGGAAGAAAAGCGACDATGTTTGATTTCAATGTTTACTTCCGGTTTTTTCGCTTAATTTAGTGCACTGTAAAAAACGCAAAATAACAGCAAACTTTCTTCGTTTTGAAAAGAAATCGAATTTCCTCTACAAAATATATATATTTCTCTCTTATATTACAAAATATTGCAATAAAATATTAGAAAKAGAATATTTTACAGAATTTTCATTAATTAACATTTTTTGGAGCTAAATTTACTATGCAAAAATAAACCCCAAATAACTCCGATGTTATATCGATTTAGACATTGAAATCATACCTGTTTTAACGTCTTAAGATAGCTTATTCAAAATATGGAATAAAATTTTTGGGCAATTCAAATCGTGATTTTTGGCGAATATTTTTGTAAGTGGTATTTTAGCCGAAATTCGCGCTTTGTTGACATCTCTGGCACACAAGTGCGAAGTCACGCAATTCGAAGCAACTTTTAAAACATACCATTTCCAAAGAAAGTTTTAAAAAGAGATTAGGTTTGGTCTTGAATAAAATATTTCAGCCTTATAATAGCAGCAAAGGACAAGAATATTATTATTTCAAGCTGTCAGCTTGATGAAGTACTATGCCGTGACATATAAACAATTTT